CCCTTTCTAATCATAGTAGCCCAGGTAGGGGCATTAACTAAGACAGGTGGTGGGCCAGAGGAGGGAGCAAGTAGCAGTGGGAGGCAGATATAGACTCTGGCTTAGCAGGTAGGAGGACTGCCAAGGCAGTTTTGGTGGTAAGTGCGCATACATTTGTTTATGTTGAGAAGGCAATGTCCTTGTTGACTCTCAATCAATCTTAAAGGCAATTGACATGCTCTTGGCATGTGTCAACCGCTTTGCTGTAGTTGTCATGTATTTGTTGCAACATCTTGTACAAGAGAGTAATATTTGGTTGCAGGTCTACCTCCTGAAAGTTCAGGTCTACTACTGTCATAATAAAAACATGTTGGAAGTAACGTGAAAGGAAGTGATGTAAGACTAGACCAGGATGTGTCATATCACTTTCATGTAATATGAGACCTGGGTGTCTATAGAAGGCAACCTCACCTCTGTGATCAGAGATAAACAAAACTCAAAATAAGTGAATGTCATGGGTCAGATTAACCAGCGCAATGTCTCAGAGTATGATGAACGCCTTCTCCAAGCCCTCATTTCCCTGGAGTCGATAGATAATCCAATAACTCAGGCCGAAGCAGTGGAAGAATACGAAGTCAACAGGAGAACACTATATCGGCGGATTGCTGGAACCGTTGATCGCCAAGTCATATAGCACCCAGACTAATAGTACCTACTATCAGTAGAGGAGTCAGTCATTGTTAAATGGTATGAGAAGCAAGATGATCAGGGGTTTTGCCCAAGGGTAGATATGGTTTGCAGTATCACTATTCACCTGGAACAGAAACAAGCTGGGAAACTGTCAACTCCATTGGGGCAGAAGTTGATAGATCACTTCCTCAGCCGCTATCAAACATTAGCCACTAAACCAAGTTGTAACCTTGAATCACAGAGAGCTTATGCCAATAACTCAGGCCTCTTGCAATACTATTTTGGGAGGTTAGGCCCGCTGATATATTGCTATGGCCTCAGAGAAGCTCAAATATTCAATATAGATGAAAAAGGTTGCTTAATAGGCCAGGCTGCAAGAGCTAAAGGGACCTGTCAATGGGGTAGGCATAATCCGTGTCTTACATATGATAGAAGAAGAGAACTTGCTCCAGTAATAGAGACTGTATCGGGGAGCAGAGTTTCACTATCTCCCTTTGTCATTAACAAAGGAAAGGGGCACTACCTAGGGCGGTACCAGAACCTTACCATAGCTGAACATACTTGTCACTTCACCTACTCTCCTAAAGGATGGACAGATAGTAATTTGGCCATGCGGTGATTGTGTAACTTTTTTGATCCGGAATCAGCCCTCATAGCAGGGGTAAATCTACCCCAGTTTGTTATTCAAGATGGTCACGATTCAAATATTAGCTTCAAATTTATACAGTATTGCATTGACGGTGGGATCTACCTTATTTGCTTACTTGCTCACTCAACCCACCTACTGCAACCTCTAGATATTACTTTATTTGTACCTTGTCAACATTTTTACAGTTTACCTCTTGATAACCATATCCGGTCAGGCCAGAGCCAAGAAGGGATAAGGAAGACAGCGTTTATACCATTTTTTGACTTAGGCACTGACCAAGACCATGACCTCACATAGTATTCAGTAAGCATTCACAGCTACTGTGATTTGGCCTCTGAATTCTCAGCTGGTTATCTATAAACTCACAACTCTCACAATCAATCAGCTTACAGCTATTGGGGTTGCTAGAAATTCCAAAACAGCATGGGAAATTAGAATAAAGGTTAAGGCAGGCCAGTGACTGCTGGATATTGTGTTTATGAGTTTGGAGGATCCAGAGGTGGATTTAAAAAAATCTCGTAGAATACTGGATCAGGTTGCTGGAATTCTACTAGAATTAGGCCACCAAGTGGAGGCAGAGATAGGAGAAAAGAAACTCTATCAGGAGTCTAATCGATACATTTACGGAATGAGCTAGCTCTTTAATACCACTGGTAGATGGCAGGTCTCAGTAGCCAGAGTCTTTAATGGAGCTGAGATCATTCGCCTCTGTGATGACTGTTTTACCAAAGATGCTACAAAGCCCCTCCGTCTCCCAGTCTGTGGGAAAATGACTAGTACTCCAAAGCAAAAACCCACCAAAGCATCTCCTATCTCATGTACACTACCTATTAGAGTTCGGGAAATAGTTATATCTAATACTCCAATCATTATGTTGATTGATTCAGAGGTTGAAGAGAGTGAGGTTGAACAGTTAATCAAGAATGAATAGAATACAACTCATACGACCCCCTGCCATCCTCGCAGATCTAGTAATATATTTGCTGTACCCAAATCCTTACATCCTGAGGTCCCTCTCCATATGCGGCTTCGGTCCCGGCAGTCATAAACAGGACAGAGTTAATTCTTGTAAGGAAGAGGGGAGAGGAGGAAAGGACAGCAAAAGAGACAAACTTGGACTCAATTCCCACCAATATGCAGCTGAAATCCACCAGCCATACCTTATCTCTCTGATAGAGAGTCTGAATAGGCAATCTGATAATATCTACCTAGCTGCAGACAATGCCTTCTGGCATGGTGATGGGGAAAATCCAAAATTGGAGGCTGACTGTGGTTACAAAAAGCTCCCTTGGCTACCTAACTCACCAGATATCAACCCTATTGAGAACACCTGGGCACTACTCAAAAGAGCCCTCACCAAGCTATTTTCCAAACAAGAGAGAAGGCCTCACAGTGCTATTGAATTGTTTGAGGGAGCCAAGGAGGAGTAGGGATTAATTCCGCAGGAAAAGTTGGATAAATAGATAAATAGAATGCCTGAGAGAATGTTGGCTGTACCGGATACAGATGAAGGCCATACAAAATGGCAATAATGTTTTTCTATCATCTGCTAGCTGTACTATTATATTTTCTTCAATTGAATTCTCTACTTTTTTTTTGAATATTTGGTGGATGCGTGTCATGGTAGTGCTGTTGCCGCGTAGGGGTGCAAAGGCTTTCAGAACACAACTGGACTTGACTTAAACACTCTTCAGCCTGTACGACATACCCAAAATATCTGTAACATTATTCTACCCAGCCAGTGTGCCTTGTTACAATCTGATTTGTGACAGCTATCATTTTACCTTCCATGTATAAGAGGTGAGAGTTGGTATAGGCCATATCAATGACATCCAACTCTGTGATAGAGCAGAAAGAATAGCTGCTGTATATACTTGAAAGATTAAGAATGAGGTAGCTATACAGATTGGCTAAGTCAAAGTACGACACTGAGGTGGAATAGTCATTACAGAATCAAATGAGTAGATAGTCATCATGGGCTGTAATATATGTTGAGACTCTCAACAATTAGGTAGAGGTTGCCATAGTGTATAAGAAGAGCGGAAAGAGCTATTGCCAAGTTGTCGGTTGATATGCTATTAGTAGAGTAGGTATTGCGAACCCTAAAGCTCATAAGGGAGGAATCAAACAAGCTAGTAGAGCAAACATCATCATTAGCTATCAAATTCAGCCAACTGAAAAAAAAAAGAACAACATAGGAAACATATTTATTCAATACCGAGAAGTATAAACGGCAACCTGAGGGAAGGTTTCTGAATGAATAGGTGGAGCAAAGGCCTTGAAGCCCTAAGACATAGGCAGGCAATTCTTGTAAATAGGAGGATCTTGAATCAAAATCAATACAGGAAATTCTGCAAAGTCTTGAACAGTTAAACAAGGATAGAAAAATATTCTACCTTTCTAAACAGTTATATTATATGATGGAAAATATTTTAAGCAACTATAGGGAGGAGCTCCCAAAGAGAGTTCAGATTGCCTGGCTATACTTGGTTATTAATAAGCTGTACTAGGGGAAGAGCAAGGAACATCATCTTCTGCCCATAGAAGTAGGGTGATTGCATATATGTATTAGTATTACTACAATACTTGTATAATTATTGGAGAACAGAAGAATCCTGAAGCCAGGTATCATTAACTATTACTCTTATTACCTTAAAACCTTTCTTGAATTTTACTTTTTTAGTTTAAATTGATTGATTAAAATTACAGAAATTGTCAAAAGTCATTAAAAATAATTTAATTTACACATATCTAGTATTGACTAAATTTGTACTATGTTTATGAAGTTTTCCATCGATTATTTCAAGATTTGGATAGATATTGTAATGATTATTCTCCAATATGGTATAAGTTTGGTTCATTAACTATAAGCAGATAGGTAATACTGTAAACTATATAGTTAAATTGTTTATATTCTGGGTAGGTATTAAGATAACCCAATTGTATTCCCATCTTGTCAACTGCTCTGCATTATAGGTCATTATGCCAGAGGTATCTTGTTAATAATAAGGTTTAATGCAAATGAGTTGGATTTGTAAGTTAACTTATAATTCCACATTCGCCTCGCCCATTCATGACATTCCGTGGCATTCCGTGTAGTAAATTGAGCGTTAAGTGTCTATGCTGCTCTACACTACTCGCGTCCTCTCAAGCCAACCAACGAGATTTGTTGGGATTGGCATATGCTCTAATATCTCGCAAGGCAAAAAATCTGCCAAGTCTCTTCCTGGCGGGCGGGGGGCGGAGAACAGGACTTTCCCGAAATGAAACCCAAGAGTTTGCGGTCATGGATTGGATGGAGTGGGGCGTGGGTTGTTGTCTAGATACTGCATGAAAGTTCCCGGGAAAAAGGCGAAATAGCAGGGAACCTTTGTTGGGATTGTGGTCCTGAGGGCTCCAGATGGGATAACTCCCACCCTAACACTACCTGTTCAGAAGAGCCTATTAATTCCCTCTTCCCCCTAGCATGACAGGCCCGGGCGCTAGTAAGTCTGATTCATCATATTATTATGCTTCATCATGTTCACAATATCTCACTCGGTGTATACTTCTTACTCCTAGCTACCATGCTGGATGGACACATCAGACGTGGGCAAATACTTTTGATCAGAGTGTCTGGCGAGTCAGCGCCACCGGGTAAGCACGATTGCTGGTCATGGTGCCATTGACTTTTGTTTATTATTCGAAGAAGGAAAGCCATTGGATATCACAACCCCTTTTTATCATACATTTGATGCACGATATTAGCGGCCTATCTACGTACACTCCCTTGAAAACATGGAGGTTATACGATTCTTGTTCCATCTCACGATGCCCATCGGTACATTGCAACCCCCTATCGACACAATTTAAGCCTTGGAGCCAATTTCACGACACCACCACTACGACCTCCATCTAGTGTTCAATCAAGCAACCTTCGAGAAGCAAAGACTCGCATTCGTGCCCCCAAACCCAAAGCTGTTGGAAATTGCCACGTCCACCTTCTCGCTCTGCGTCTTCAAGGGGACGTAATTACAGTCAAACTCCTCCGTGGTGTTTTCTAAGTTCAACGTGGGCGGCAGGAGACCCTATAGCGCATCAGTACCCTACACTTTGAATAAAGAAGGATGGAGCGGTACCTCGTCCAATGCTTTGACAGCAAAAATCGCCTCCACGGCGCCAGCCGCACCAAGTAGATGTCCAATAGCACCCTTTGAGCTAGAAATATTCACATCAGAAGCCTTTTCGCGCCCCTCTTCTCCAAGCATCAATCGCTTGATGGCTCTATTCTCCGCCGCGTCCCCAAGCAGGGTCGAAGTTGCATGGGCGTTTATGTAGTCCACATCCTTGGGCTTGATCCGGGCGTGTTGCAACGCCCTTTTCATAGCAAGATACGCGCCGCCCCCATCCTCCGGCGGGGCAGTAATGTGGTGGGCATCCGAAGACAATCCGTATCCCCGAAGTTCTGCGTAGGGAGTCACCCCGCGGGCGTAGGCATGCTCTAGTTCTTCAAGCACGAGGACTCCGGCACCCTCACCCATAACGAATCCTGAGCGGTCGCGGTCAAATGGGCGGGAGGACCGCTCCGGATGACTGTTAGAGTCCGACGACAGACTCTTTAGCCGGGAGAAACCTGCCAGGCCGAGGGGGTGAATACAGGCTTCGCTGCCCCCGGCGATCATCACGTCTGCGTCGCCAAATTGTATGAAACGACTGGCATCGCCAATGGAGTGCGCACCAGTCGTGCAGGCGGTCGATACAGCGTGATTAGGGCCCTTGGGGCGCAGTCGTTTAGCCTAGAAGCAGATATGGAGGAAAGGAGAGAGAGCAAACACAAGAACTAACTTGGAAGTTGTGCTTCATGGTAATGTGCCCGGCGGCAAGATTTATGAGTAACCGGGGAACGAAGAGTGCGCTTAATTTTTTGGCACCCTAAAAGGCTCTTAGCGAGAACGGTTTTAAGCGGAAACTCATAACTCACACCTTTCGATAAAGTCGTTGAGGAATCGTACATATCCTCTAGACTGCCGATTCCAGATCCTAAACAAACTCCCTATAGCCCATCATTAACCCTCCCATCTCTCCCCGCTAATCCTAGACTTCGAAAGGTGAAGTACAGTTCGTTCCTGCTGGTTCTGGCTGGTTGGCCTCCACCGGGCGTCGTCTAGCGCTTCTTCCGCCGCTGCAACAGCGTATTGCGTGAAAAGAGCCATTCTTCGTGCATCCCCCCGCCTTAGCCATTCGTTAGGATCCCACCCCCCACTTCCAGATGTACCAATTGGTATGGTGGCGGCGACTTGGCTGGGTATGCCATTGAACTCGAGCTGGTTCTTGATGGATCGAATACCACACTTGCCCTCCACGAGTCGTTGCCAGGACTTGGAAATACCTGTACCGGTATCTGTCAGCCCGGCCCGCAGGATTTGGTGTCAGCAGCGCCTACCGACAGCAAGAGGAGTTACTGCTCCCATGCCTGTTACTACTACTCTTCTCATCGCGGTAGTGATATCAGGAGAGGAATGGTACCGGTGGTGGGATTACCCCAGTATCCTGGTTCAACAACCAACCGGTCCCAGCAGGATGTAGACTAGTGATAGCCCTAACCCCATAGCATCGCAGCCACTGCGGACTGCGTCATAAGCATGATTCAGTTAATAAGGCATAATACCACACTTGCAGCTCGTGTCTCTGAATGCCCTCTCACCAGCTGAGATACAGAATGCCGGTGGATGAAAAAGCGAAAGCTAGCGAATAGTCCCACAAACTGTGGGTTAAAATTTAGTTTTGACCACCCCACTAGATCAGGAGTTTGAAAGTCGTGAACAGAACTAATTTACTCTAGATCCAAAATCCTAATTGCTCAGCTCTTTCAACGCCAGCCCCACAAGGGCATGAGGACTCGTACAATTAGAGCATATTCCCTCAAGCTTACCATACAAGCGATAGGTAGAATGAAAATAGTGAATGTACCTGCGCAAGTTCATTCACTACCAGGCTTACGTCCACTGTACTCATCGTAGATACAGCTCGTTACTTGGAACACAATAATTTTCATCTTGGAGCGTGTTTTGTCAAACTACAGTATCCTGGGCTTTATTCAATTTTATAACACAGTCCATGTCCAATCCCACCGACCTTTGTGGTAATGCTATCTCCGCCCAGGCCTCTTTGGCCTCGAGAAAGACTCTTTCTCTTCCTTTTTGGGATGAAACTCCTCGAGGAGCTGCAATTCACTAACGTCACTGGCAGATGAAGCCTCCAACTATTGAATCATTAGGAACGATATCTTTGAGCCAATTGCTATGCGACCCAAAGAGTCTCTGATACATACCCTTCTAGCGATCTGAAGCCCAGCATCCGCCTCAGCCGAAGCCACTACACTTCCACGAGAAGCAGCGTAGATCATTCTCTCCCTGATCTTACTCTGGGGTGGGCAAGTGTAGATAAATACTATATACACACATTAGATATTGCTTGGTGCAACAAAGAGTTGTAGTCCCGTAACTACCTATTGGGGACTCTTGCTGGCCTTCGAACATATCTGCAAGGTAGTCAGACCTATATCCACTGACCAAGAAAGAAGAAAGACGTGCGATTGAATATAAAAAAAGAATACCGCGGGGTATCGTCGGGAATAACCCTAGTAAAATCTCCAATAGCAGCAGTGCTCGCGCTAGCAAGCTCTATCCGCTCCTTTTCGATATTTACGGCCTTCGAAGACCGAATATTAGTGTATCTTACTTAACGCTATGATAAAATAAGAGAAAGGACTAACTAGCTGCACCAAATTGATAAACCCCCCGGACCTTAGGTTTCTCAGAGCCTCAAGAGCCTCCTCGGTCACAGGCGTCAGTACCCCCCTGCTAGTGGCCTTCTTTGTTGATGCGCCAGTCGAGGCTTCCGCCTCCGCCTCCTTCACTTCTTTCAAGGTTTTTTCCTCCTCAGTAAGTGGCGCCGGCCTGCAGCACTTTTAGCTATGGCTATCTCATAGGTTGTTGGGTGGGGCACTATACTTTGCTAGGTGAGCGTCATGCCTTTTAAACCCTTCTGCCGTTAATTCCTCCTTCGTAGTAGCAAATATAGACTCCTCAAATCTGTCCGACCCAAGGTCCCTGAGAAGAGTATTGCGAGTGGACGCAAATAGCATCTTCTGCCTCACATTTGCTATGTCGGGAACATAAGCAATGCAGATAAATGGAGCAACAAGTGAACCCAGATCACGCCTTCGTAGAATAATATAGGCTGGCTGGTTGTCCTTCAAGTGTCCATCCAATTGGCTGAGGTCCTCATCGAAAGAGCCTGCGGAGGGGAGAGTTTCTTTAGACACAAGAGCTTCGTTTTCGATTCCTACTATCAGGCCACGCACGCTAGGATCAGAGACAGCAGCTTGAAAAACATCCAGAAGCTCCTGGGTTGCTATTGGTTAATTACCCATACTGTTAGCTGAAGCTTCGAATAGAATATTTGTGCTCAAGGACTGACCAGTAATGCCTGATTGCATAGTGAGGTCTCAAGAGTGCTATTTCCGTACGCCGTTGTTTGCCCACACCAAGGAGGAATGGGAAAGGAATCTGTGATTGTGCCTGTATTGCAGCCGGTCCGGGCGTGGTAAAGGAGTTGTTGGGCTAATTAGACTACCGGTAGTACTATTCGGCCGTAGGAATGCAGAGGCTCAAAATAAACTACCAAGGCAGGAATAGCAAGAACAGTACGGGACTATTAACGGTATTTGACCTGATGCTAGACCATGAAAGCCAAATCTACCGAAACTCGAGTACCTTTGTTCCTGCGGGGCAAGTGGGGTCTTGGCGTCTAGAGAGCCCGTCACTTGAAATAAAGGATCACAACTGTCCAATACGATAATTACCCTGCTCACATGTCTGAGTCGCAGCCCTCAACAATACAAGTTGAGGACAACCCAGCGCCCTGTCTTTAAATTACGAAAACCTCTTCAACTCTCTAACCCTCTGAAAAATCCTCACACCTATATAATATTATAGCCCACTGCCAGCGACACGACCCGAATGACTATCATACTATTCTCCCACCACCCACCACGGTCGATCCCCTTTCCAGCCGCAATAATTCCGGGGGTCACCGATTATCAGTTATTGAAGGTGAAGCCTGCCCCTATCCCACCCCACCCCCGAGCTCCGAGTTCCAGGACCCCTCCAATTGAAGTGCACCTTCCCGCTTGCAACAGATCCGTTGAATAATACTGCTGGCGGTCTCGGAGAACTGGTATGATCCATTGTCCTCCCGAGGGAGGAAGCAACAAAAAGCATGCACCCCTCCACCACTTGCACATGTCTTTCACCTTACCTTCACACAGTGTCTACCAACTTGCACAAAGAAAATTTAAATTGAAAAGTCGAAATAAAGGTCACCTTGGACAGCGTCAAAAGTTCACTACACATTCACTGTCTCGATGGGTGTCGAGTTACCGGTACAACACAGGCCTAGCCATAGCCAACACACGAAGAGTTAAGTGCTTGGCGATACCAACCACTCTCTGGATCGATGAGGCCCCAAAGCCGCTCTCTATCATTTGGTCTCGTCCCCGAGGTGTCCATCGGGCCTGTCATAATCCGAAAGACTACGCCAAAATCGCTATAGCAAGGAATCGCGGTGAAAACCTGCTCCATAGTTCGAACTCTGATATCAAATATGAGAGCAATCAGAGACGTGACAAAAACAACGGCAATCGGCGGTCACGAGAGATAATGCTGTTGTGATAGCGCTCGGAGGAGAAAGAACGTTTCTTATGAAAATGTGATACATGCAATAAATTCCTAACTATCCAATAATGCTTGTCCGCAAGACTACTATCTATATAACCCAGGAAGGTTTCGTTAGCAATTGTAGAGATTTTTGCGGGAAAATAACATACCAAACTTGTACCAGGTGGAACTAGATACTGTTAGCGAAATTTTGCGAGGGACAGTTGCCCATATTCTGGGCAAAAAGTGAATGACCCAGATCTGTAGGATTAATGAGATCAGGATGATAAGGGAATGCCGTGAGGAAGAAGAAGTGCTGGAGCAGGAACTCTCTTTTATACCCGGCTAATCGCGCCAAGGCGGCAACTCTTCTAGTACTGTACTCCAGTTCAAGGGTACAGTCGTGTCCGGAAAGTTTTCGTACCCTCACATGGCAACCGCACAACTACAACCCCCAACCATAAAGATTTCAAAAAAAATGTAAAGAATTCAATTAAAGAAAACATGATAGTATTGCTAGTAGACAATAAACAAACATTATTACCATTTTGTATGGCCTCCATTTGCATCCAGTACAGCTTGCAGTCTCTCAGGCAGCCTATCTATCCATCCATCCAACTTCTCTTGGGGAATTAAATCCCACTCTTGCTTTGCTGCCTCAAACAATTCAGCTGCACTATGAGGCCTTCTTTCCGGTCTGGAGAATCACTTGATAAGGGCACTTTTGAGTTGTGCACATGTGTTCTCAATAGGATTGAGATCTGATGAGTTTGGTAGCCAAGGGAGTTTTTTGTAATAATAGTCTACTTCCAATTTTCGATTTTCCTCACCACCATGCCAGGAAGCATTGTCTGCAGCAAGGTAGATATTGGTAGATGGTCTATCCAGACCCTCTATAAAAGGAATAAGGTAAGGCTGGTAGATCTCAGTTGCATATTGGTAAGAGTTTAAGTCAAGTCTGTCTCTTTTATTGGTCCTTTCCTCCTTCCTCCTCTTTCTTACAAGAATTAACTTAGTCTTTCCTCCCTTCATCATTGCAGCATATACTCCAATGCTAGTCCTTCCAGACTTGAAGCTAGGCTTCAAGTTTTTTTCTTCCAACTCTTCACCAGTTCTAACTCTGACCTTCCTGCCAGTAGGATTTGGATCATAAACAATAGTGGCTTCACCCACAAAAACAACCCAATTCCATGCACCTTTCCAGTTCCCCCTTCTCCTAGCAAACTCTCTTCTTTTCTCCTTTTGTCCTTTTCTCCAAAAAGGCTTTTTCCTAAGTATCAGAAGCTTAAAACCAGCTTCTGATATGATCCTATCATTAGTGGTTTTACCAAGACCAATATTCACTTTTTTGGTAATGTCGCATAATGCTAAATGAGGCTTGGCATTGATAACTGACTCCACTATTTTTCTTTCTATGTCGGTAATCTTGGTTAGTCTTCCACCTCTTTTTGCATAGTGAGTGTTTCCACCCCTAGATTTAGCTCTTTTGACCAGAGACTAAACAGTTAACTTGGATACACCAAAAGACTTTGAAATTTTGTCATATCTCTTTTTTTTTTTTTTTTTTTTTTGTAATCTTATTTATTTATCCATTTTAATGAAAGTAAGGCCGGAGGTCATATCAGCTTTCCCCATGCAGACCCGCACCTCCACCCCGCCTTATTCTCAAGCAGCAAGAAGAAAAACCGTGACCCCAGAAAGGCACACGCCAGCAGCCAGGTGCCTGTCCCTAAGAGCCCACCACTTGAATGCGGAGGGGTCTCACCCAGGACCACCAACATCCAACTAGTGCTCGGTTTAAAAAACTCCCCCCCAAGTCTCCCACATGGCTAATTAAAAACAGTAAAGACAGAAAGCCCAGAAACCCATTCTGCAAATCAAGGAAAATCCCCATCCCGACAGCACACCCCCCACCCAACAGAAGAAAGCCCAAACGAAAGAAACCCCAAACCAAAGGCCAAAACTTATCCCTCACCTACAACAACCAAATTTCCAGACAGACCAGTTCAGATCCACCCACGACTCGGAAAGTCGAAATAGCGAATAGGCGCGTCTACTTAGGTGGCATAAATGTATGCCTTGGGAATATAGCCCGTCGATCGCCAGCAGGAGAAACCGGAAGGAGGGAGCACCCACTGTAAGCAGCAGGTATTGGCGGAATGAAAGCCCCAAGCCATCTGTCAGGGAGGACCAGGGGGGTCTGCCCAACGCAGCAAAAGAGGGTGAGGCATGAGGATACCAGCCAACAGTAGTAGGGTACCAGCCGATGTGACCGAAGAGAAAAAGGGAGGAAGGGCCAAAGGCCCCAGTGTTGACCCAACTGAAACCAAACCATTGCCATATTACCGAGTCTCTCTTGTAGTCCCTTGTTCTCTGAGAGATAGCGTCACTTAGTGGAAAGGATCCCACCGGCGATAGAGAGGCAGAAGGGCTAGGAGGAGAAGGCGACCGTAATGTGAACTGAGCGACTAGGAGGGTATGGCCAGATCTCACCGCGAGACAGACCCCGAAGTTACTAGCCGTGGCGTTCCCCAACAGGGATCATGCAAGTGGGGAGAAGGACGTCCACCACTGCCAGCACCGTCCAGAAATGAAGAGAGGAAGCCAACCATGCCAATGCTAAGTGAGCTCCTGTTAGTAAGACAGGACTACTGGGAGAGTCCAGATAACTCCCTCATCAAGCAGATAAGAGACAGGCGAGGCGAGGGCAGGAGAGGATAGAAGAATTAACCATACCCCTAGGCAGGAACCATTGAGTGGGCAGAGGGGAGTGGGGGGGGCCCACGATAGTTGGCGTGGTGTTGCCAAACTATGTGGGAGGAAAATAGGAGCGACGGAGTGTGAAACTTTGTCATATCCCATATCTGTATATTTATACAGAGTTTAAATTTCCTTATTCAGGTCTTCTCTTGATCTTAGGTTATGTGGAGGTACCATGGTGAGGAGGGTTGTTGTGGTGATGAGGTGTTGCGGGGTTGTACCTCAGAGGTACAAAAGCTTTCCAGATATGACTCTATAGTGCCTCATCAAAAGTGTTCGTAATCAGAGATACGTTTAATTGCAGTTGTGCCATGGGACGATGGGGTGGGGTTGCCAACCATACTTGCGTGCATGCGAGTGTGCAATCAACCCTCAACTACCACCTCTCACAATCAACTGTCAATGATCAATGATCTGCTATGTATATTTTAGAATGAAATAATAATAAATATGGCTAGCTAATACTTTGTATAACCTCCTCTTGCTTCCAATACTGCAGCTACTCTAACAGGTATTGATTTCTACAAGCTTTCAAAAAACCCCTCAGGAATTGTCTCCCAAACTAAAGGTAATACTTGTGCAAGCCTCTTCTTCGTAGCTTCTTTTCCTCCTAGAGTATCTCCAATCCTTGGATACTACTGGTGTCATTGCTTTTTAAACTCAGCACAATCATACTCAACAGAATTTAAATCAGGTGAGTAAGGGGAGTGTTCAACCAATTCAATAGAATTGTTTTCAAACCATCCCATAAGACTACAAGCCTTGTGAACAGGAGTCTTGTCTTGCTGAAATAGAATATCTTCAAGTTGCATACCAAAGGAAATCATTTGACGAATTACAGGAAAAAGATGTTTTCTTAATAGTCTAACATACCTGTTCTTGTTGATATTTTGGGTAATAGGAACCAAAAGACCTTTTCTCTTACCCACAAAACACATCCATACCATAACAGAAATACCCTTATCCTTTTCCTTTAGGTGAATACAGTCTGCAAGCCACTACTCCCCAGGTTCTCTGAAAACCCACTACTGCCTTGAATCCCTGGATTTCTTCACACTGTACTCATTACTCCAAATGACTCTCAAAATCCTCAGCTGTCCAATTCCTATGAGCTGTAGCCCATCTTAATCTCTTAGCCATCCAGACTGTTTTGAGCTTGGGTTTTGACTTGGCTAGCTATTTCTTGATATTGGCATCTCTGAGCACTCTATGAACTATAAATTTGTTAGAGAATCTTGTTCTATCACTCATGCTCAGATGGGTACCAACAAGTAGAAAGAAAAATACCTGGTGTATATTTATCCCTGAAA